ATACATACTATCAATAGATATTATTACTCATTATAACCATATCAAACAACCTTTCATCAATAAGATATTCAGAAAAAGTCCAGAAAATGAGAAAAGGGGAATTAAAGAGAAACCAAGAATTTGTCATCTTTACTTTGAAATATATATATTGGAGGGTTATAAGTATATATAGTGGAGGGTTAAAAACCATGACTATTTTTATCATTTCTACTTTGCATATATATACCCATACATAAATACATACATACTTTGTATTTATATGTGTATTATATCTTCCCAATCACACATTTTTAGAGATGGACAGGTGACTTGTCCTGAGATTCAAGGAAGTGGAAAGCCAGTTTAAAACAACGTTTTTCTGGCTTCTGGGTCAATGTTCTTCTCTTACCTGGTAGACCTGCATCGGAACACAGCTTTATATGAAAGTCTGGATGTTTGTAAGCCACATGAATCACTAAATAAGTGATACATCTTAAAATTCCATCTATCCTCAAAATAACTTTTATTTAGTTTTGTATTGCTTGATTTTTATCTCAATTTTTTTAAAAAAAAATTTTAGTTGTAGATAGACACAATACCTTTATTTTATTTTATTTTATTTTATTTTATTTTATTTATATGTGGTGCTGAGGATTGAACTCAGGGCTTCACACATGCTAGGCAAGCACTCTACTGCTGAACCACAACCTCAGCCCCTCAATTTTCTTTTGAGCTAAAAAACAATGGTAATTTTAAGATATATTTAAGTTGCCCACATCCATGAAAGCAAATGATGCTCTATAAACCTTAGAAAGGAACAATTGCTCTACAGGCAAGAGGCATGAGCTTTAAGATCTGATTTAGTTTTCTAACATAGTAAAAATGATACTTTTTTAAAAATAAAGATTCTCTCAGTCTTTCTGGGAAGAATGAGAACCACACATAATATGGGGAAGCACAATAGCAGTTTTCCATAAATTTGGTCCTATGGCACTAGCATATTAGGACCAAAAGGGAACCTGTCTGCAAAGGCAGTTCCTCACTTTACATTTGAGGAGACTGAAATTGCAAAACAGAAGAACTGGTGCAAGTCGCACATACAATCACAACATACAGTTAGTGGATGTCAGAACCCAGGCTGGAATCAGCCCCTGGTTAATCAGTCCAGGGCTGTTTGCTCTCCCTGATTGCTGCTCTGAAATCAGTCAAGTTTTTTTTTTGTTTGCAGGCAAGTCATTGTATTAAAGCTATTGAGGAATAAACCATGTCCACAACTAGTAAAGATGCTTGGTACAAAACTGAAATCTTTTGTCTATACCTACAGTTAGCCCTCAGAATCTGCAGGCTCCATATCCATAGATTCAACCAAGCAGGGATTAAAAACGCACCCAAATTGGATTAGAGAAAAAAATTACATCTGTACTGAACATGCACAGACTGATTTTCCTTGTCTTTTATTCCCTAAAAATATAGTACAACAACTATTTACATAGTATTTATATTTTATTAGCTATTATAAGCAATATAGAGATGATTTCAAGTTTATGTGAAGATGTGCATAGGTTATATGCAAATACTCTCCATTTTATAGAAAGGAATTGAGCATTAGTGAATTTGGTATCTCAGGAGTCCTGAGACCAGTCCCCCTTGAATACTGGGGTATAATTGTGCATACTGAACATATTTTTAAAGTGTTTATGAGGCATTCTCCTCTATTAAAGTCTTATGACCCAGTAGAGGAACATTAGAAAAATAAAACAATATCTACAATGAAAGCTGTAATATTCAAAATTTAAATAGATGCACTTTTAGCTTTAGTCTGACTTCAGAGTCCCAAACCTGCCATTGAATTTCCATTTGTGAATCTTGTCTGAGTCTTAAATTCATCACATTAGAATGATGAATTTACTTTAGAAAACAAGTTCTCTGATACTTTACCTTAGGTCAGAAACCATTTGAGTTTTTACAATCAATAATTTTAATTTTAAGTTTTTTTGAGGATACATTTCAAGTGTTTAAAATATTAAAAAAAATATATATTTTAATGAACATTTTGCTCAGAATATGTACTGGAAGCATTACAAGGATTTCAAAAATAAGAACTGAAGTATTAAGGTTAGATTTTTTTTAAAAATCACACATTGTTAACTTAGTTTCTTAAGAGACTGAGAATGTCTTAAAACATTTTCATTCTAATTAAGCACAGAAATCTTTTAACACTGTACTATAACACTGAAAAGAGATGATCATCATCGATGTTAGTGGCTTTTAGAGGAAAAGGTAATGTTTTTCTATTTTATCAATGGTCATTAATATAAAGATTATTAATTAAATCATATGTACTGCCTTCTGAGGAAAAACAAGAAAACCCCAAGAGTTACACACACACACACACACACACACACACACACACACACACCCCAAGAAACATTCCATCACTTCAGTCTGGCAGGTAAAATTTAAAAGTCAAAAAAGATTATAGTTTATTGATTTCCTTAGGCTACTTAAAAATAAATGTGGACCTGTATTCTTTGCATGAAACAAAATATTGAACTCTGCCCTTCAGGCATACTACCATACTTCAAATGCTGATCTTATCATCAGGGGCAAGTCAAACAGAGTTGGACTTTAAAAAGAAAAAAGGAAAACCCTGGAGCCACTGGGAAGCATCAAGAGTAAGGTTGTTGGTCTGGTTCTGGTCAGAACTCACCCGGGGTCACCATGCCTGACTAAGAGCCACTAGGCTTCAAGATGACATTTTTCAATAAAAACAAATAACCAGAATTTGAAACATAATATGAAAAGAAAGAGTGTATTCTGAAATTAATTTTCTTTTCCACTTGGCATCTTCTTATTATCCATTCATGAACAGGAAATAGAATATTGTCATGTCTCTGTCATTAGAATTCTGTATGATAAAATAATCCTAATAAATTATAAAATAATAATGTCAAAGAAAATTGCAAATTGGTGAGGAATTAGATGGAAATTTTGTTATGTGTTTTAAATACTGGCCACATTCTATGTTCCTAGATGCTCATTTTGTAATATTGTGAAATGTATCCATCAGCTTTAAATGTGAGTTAAGGCTCCTTCAACAGTGCAGAGCACACACAATAAGGTTAGTTAAGATTCAATTAATTAAACCTTGTTTATTTGCAGTAATGTGTTGCTTCTTTTTGAAAAGTTTCAAAACTTTCCATCTTTGACTTGTAGGGACCCACTGCCCAGAGTGCTTCCTAGAACAGAATCTGACATCTCCCATCTGACATCCATACTTACAGAATTTATGACGTGGCCTGGAAAGTAGCTCTGAATGTGTCGAGCAGAAACATAATCTTGACACAGAAGCTAAAGCTAAAAGCACAAAAGAGTTAAAAGGATAGGCAACATCCTGAAATTATCCTTGAATGCATCTATATCTTAAATTTAGACTGAAATTTAAAAGGGTATTAACAGTTTCTTACACACCTCTCTTTTCCAAATTAATAACCTTTGAGGAGGAAAAGAGCAAGATTGCTATTATTCTAATTCTGTGTTTCTGTTTTAAAATCAGATATTTATTATTTTTAGGGGAAAAAATCACCCCAAATAAGACATTTTGACCATGATATAAGCAAGACTGCTCAGAGAACTAATTGAAAATGGTCGCTTTAATTATGAGAAGTTTTGAGGGAGTGGGGTGGGGAGATGAGGGTGGTAAGGAAACCTGTTACAAAGGGAATCTCTACAGGATTGAAACCAGACAAACACAAGGGGGCAGGAAGAGCTCAACTCTAACCGGCTGACTGAAATGGGATCTAAACTATTGTAGTTCGCCCTCCGGATATTTATCAATTCTCTTGGCAGGCAAAGAAATGTGAAGCTGACAAGTGGGTTTAGTTTGTTCTTGGTCTAATTACTGTGAAGAGAACAGGAGCGTCTCTAATGACAGCTACCCTAACAGCGGCGGCTTTGGGACAGCCTGGGGCGACATTCCCTAGAACTTATTCTTTGGTGGGAGACTAGCGATTCTGATCAGACTACATTTTTCACGCATTCCAAATGCCCTATTTTCCTTTTACTCCGTGAACTTTGATTGCAAAGGAGGGGCTTGTTAAAAACTCACCAGTCCGAGGACTGTGTCCATTGTAAACTTATGAGAAGGTACCTGGGGCGGGGCTGGGGGGTTGTAACCTGCTCTTGCTTTGGCTTTTAATTCCAGCTGCCCCCCCCCCTTTTTTTTTTGCAAACATGCGCCCGGAGTTTCTTAAACTGCTCTGGGTTTCGATTCAAACTCAGGAGGCATTGTGTTTAACTTTACTCCCCAGCTTTGCAAGTTTCGGTGAAAAAAAAAAAAAACAAAAAACAAAACTATCCTCTTTGCAGGATTTCATTGCAGCGGGGAGAGGGGTTAATACGGGATATTCTTAATTGCAGACAAATTCTAAGAAGTGAATCCCGCACCGCAGCGCGTTCCGCTTCCTATGCGTGATCCCCAAATCTAGCAACTCAGAGCAAAACGCGATCAAGAGCATGAAGCTCCAGGTCCCTTTTCGCTGCACTTTCAAGACAACTTGTTGCTGGTTCTTTCTCCTCCCCTCCCCACTGTTTCCCCGCCTCGGTCCCTAGAGCTGATGGACAGAAATCACTACCCAACCCTCGACTCCCGTCCCTCCTCCCGGGACCAACGATTGGTCTCCTGGGAAGACTAGAGTAAGGGGGTAGGAGGGGAAGGATTTCCCTCACAGCCTGGGGTTTGGGGACCTGGGAAGTAAGAGTTGGAGGGACTCAGTTCTCCGCGTGAGTGAGCCGGCAGCGGCGGAGTCCCACGAGCTGGGAGGGCTTATCCTCTTCCGCTGCGGCTCCCGCAGGGACCGCACCGGACACTGCCCATCCTTCTGGCCCAGTCCCAGTTACAGGGGGACTCAGCAGGCAGAGTGCGGTGTTCTTGGCACTTTACGAAGGTGTCTTTTTTAGCCTGCCTGAGGACTGACTGCACGCTTTTCAGACTGACCTGTCTGAGCCCTCACACCGGGATCATGCACCCAGGCAGAACCCCAGAGGTCGCTACCCGCGCGCGCCGGACAGCCAACTCCGCCAGCTCTCAGCCAAAACTTGTTCCGCCACCCAGTCTGCTGCTGCTTCTCCTATCACTGGTAAGCCGCATCTCGGCACAGCTCGCCGTGGGTGACCGAGCATTGCTGTCTCCGGGTCTCGCGGGGGCTGCGGGGGTTCCTTCCGAGGAGGCCATAGTGATGGCGAATCGCGGACTCAGGGTGCCTTTCGGGCGTGAAGTGTGGCTCGATCCGCTGCACGACCTAGTGTTGCAGGTGCAGCCAGGGGACCGCTGCGCGGTGACTGTGCTAGACAACGACGCGCTGGCTCAGAGGCCCGGCCGCCTGAGTCCCAAGCGCTTCCCCTGCGACTTTGGCCCAGGAGAGGTGCGCTATTCCCACCTGGGTGCGCGCAGCCCGTCGCGGGACCGCGTGCGACTGCAGCTGCGCTATGACGCTCCTGGAGGGGCAGTAGTGCTACCACTGGTCCTGGAGGTGGAAGTAGTCTTCACCCAACTGGAGATTGTGACTCGGAACTTGCCTCTGGTCGTGGAAGAACTGCTGGGGACCAGCAATGCCCTGGACGCGCGGAGCTTGGAGTTTGCCTACCAGTCGGAGACCGAGGAGTGTCGCGTGGGCATCCTGACGGGCTTGAGTGCGCTGCCTCGCTATGGAGAACTCCTCCACTATCCGCAGGTCCCTGGAGAAGCCAGAGAAGGAAGTACCTCGGAGCCTCTCTTGATGGACTGCAAAGCTTTTCAGGAGCTAGGTGTGCGCTACCGTCACACAGCCCCCAGTCGCTCACCCAACAGAGATTGGGTACCCATGGTGGTGGAGCTGCGTTCACGAGGGGCTCCTCTTGGCAGCCCTGCTCTAAAACGCGAGCACTTTCAGGTGCTAGTGAGGATCCGAGGAGGGGCTGAGAACACCGCACCTAAGCCCAGTTTTGTGGCCATGATGATGATGGAGGTGGACCAGTTTGTACTGACCGCCCTGACTCCAGACATGCTGGCAGCTGAGGATGCTGAGTCTACCCCTGACCTATTGATCTTCAACCTCACTGCTCCCTTACAGCCCGGCCAGGGTTACTTGGTGAGCACCGATGACCGCAGCCTACCCCTCTCCTCCTTCACTCAGAGAGATCTGCACCTTCTGAAGATAGCCTACCAGCCCCCTTCTGAAGACTCTAACCAGGAGCGACTCTTTGAACTGGAGCTAGAAGTAGTGGACCCAGAAGGAGCAGCCTCCGATCCTTTTGCTTTCATGGTAGTGGTGAAGCCTATGAACACACTGGCTCCGGTGGTCACACGAAACACTGGTCTTATTCTGTACGAAGGTCAGTCTCGGCCTCTCACAGGTCCTGTAGGTAGTGGACCACAAAACTTGGTCATCAGTGATGAGGATGATCTAGAAGCAGTGCGACTGGAGGTGGTGGCTGGGCTCCGGCATGGTCACCTTGTCATTCTGGGTGCTCCCAGCGGCAACTCTGCTCCTAAGACTTTTACAGTGGCAGAGCTAGCAGCTGGCCATGTGGTTTACCAGCATGATGACAAAGATGGTTCACTGAGTGACAACCTGGTGCTCCGCATGGTGGATGGAGGAGGCAGACACCAGGTGCAGTTCCTGTTCCCCATCACTTTAGTGCCTGTGGATGACCAGCCACCTGTCCTGAATGCCAACACTGGACTGACATTGGCAGAAGGTGAAACAGTGCCTATCCCACCGATTGCTCTGAGTGCAACTGACATAGATTCTGATGACTCTCTGCTGCTTTTTGTGCTGGAGTCACCCTCCTCAACTGCAGGGCATCTGCTTCTCCGCCAAACTCATCCTCCCCAAGAGGAGCAGGAGCTGATCAGTGGCCTTTGGAGGAAGCAGGGGGCATATTATGAACGAACAGTGACAGAGTGGCAGCAGAAAGACATAACAGAAGGGCGGCTCTTCTATAGACACTCTGGGCCCCATAGTCCTGGCCCAGTGATGGACCAGTTTACATTTAGAGTTCAGGATAACCATGACCCCCCTAATCAATCTGGACTACAGAAGTTTGTCATACGTATTCATCCTGTGGATCGCCTCCCTCCAGAGCTGGTCAGTGGCTGTCCCCTTCGGATGGTGGTGCAGGAATCCCAGCTCACACCACTGAGGAAGAAGTGGCTGCGCTACACTGATCTGGACACTGATGATAGAGAACTCCGTTACACCGTGACCCAGCCCCCTGTGGACACCGATGAAAACCACTCACCTGTCCCACTGGGCACCTTGGTCCTGACTGATTACCCATCCACTGTGGTGACCCATTTTACCCAAGCCCAGATCAATCACCATAAAATTGCATACAGACCCCCAGGTCAAGAACTGGGAGTGGCTGCTCGAGTGGCCCAGTTCCAGTTCCAGGTGGAGGACCGAGCTGGGAATGTGGCTCCTGGTACCTTCACCCTTTACTTGCAGCCCGTGGACAACCAGCCACCTGATATCCTCAACACTGGCTTTACTATTCAGGAGAAGGGCCACCACATCCTAAGTGAGACTGAGTTGCATGTGAGTGATGTAGACACTGATATGGCCCACATCATTTTTACCCTCACACAGGCACCCAAACATGGCCACATGCAAGTGTCCGGACAGACACTGCATGTAGGAGAGCTCTTCCACTTGGAGGACATAAAACAGGGGCGAATTTCCTATACTCATAATGGAGATGAGTCCTTGACTGATAGCTGCTCCTTGGAGGTCAGTGACAGACACCATGTGGTGCCTATCACTCTCAGAGTAAATGTCCGGCCAGTGGACCAGGAGGTGCCCATGCTGAGCCTTCCTACAGGTACTCTGGAGTCCTATCTAGACGTCTTAGAAAACGGAGCTACTGAAATCACCACCAGTGTTATTAAGGGGACTGATGAACACACTGATGATTTGATGCTGACTTTCCTCTTGGAAGATCCACCCTTGTATGGAGAAATCCTGGTCAATGGAGCTCCAGCAGAGCAGTTCACCCAAAAGGACCTCTTGGAGGGCTCCGTTGTCTATGCCCACACCAGTGGTGAGATTGGCCTGTTGCCCAAAGGAGACTCTTTCAACCTGAGCCTGTCAGAAAAGTCTCAAGAATGGAGAATGGGTGGCAATACTATTCAAGGTGTCACGGTGTGGGTAACCATCCTCCCTGTGGACAGCCAGGCCCCAGAAATTTCTGTGGGTGAACAGTTTACGGTAATGGAAGGTGATAAAGGTGTTATAACCTCGATGCACATCAGCGCTGAAGATATTGACTCCCTGAATGATGACCTCCTGTGCACAATCGTTATTCAGCCAACCTCAGGCTATGTGGAAAACATTTCTCCAGCCCCAGGCTCTGAGAAGTCCAGGGCAGGGATTGCCATAAGTGCCTTCACTCTGAAAGATCTCAGGCAGGGCCACATTAACTATGTCCAGAGTGTCCACAAAGGGGTGGAACCTGTGGAGGACCGGTTTGTATTTCGTTGCTCTGATGGCATTAACTTTTCCGAGAGACATTTTTTCCCCATTGTAATCATCCCTACCAATGATGAAAAGCCAGAAATGTTTATGAGAGAATTTATAGTCATGGAAGGTATGAGTCTGGTGATTGATACGCCCATCCTCAATGCTGCTGATGCTGACATCCCCCCGGATGACTTAACCTTCACTATTACCCGATTTCCCACTCATGGGCACATCATGAGCCAGCAGGTAAATGGCACGGTTCTTGTCGAAAGCTTCACCTTGGATCAGATCATAGAGAGTTCCAGCATTATTTATGAGCATGATGACTCCGAGACCCAGGAAGACAGTTTTGTGATCAAGTTAACGGATGGTGAGCACTCTCTGGAAAAGGTGGCCCTCATCATGATCCTCCCTGTGGATGACGAGACCCCCAGGATGGCCATCAATAATGGACTGGAGATAGAAATTGGGGAAACCAAAGTCATCAACAACAAAATATTAATGGCCACTGATTTGGACTCTGAAGACAAATCCTTGGCTTATATCATTCGTTATGGGCCAGGACATGGTGTATTACAGAGGCGAAAACTTACAGGTGCCTTTGAAAATATCACGCTGGGCATGAATTTTACCCAGGATGAAGTGGACAGAAACTTAATTCAGTATGTCCATTTTGGGCAAGAGGGCATCCGGGACCTAATTAAATTTGATGTGACTGATGGAATAAACGCCCTCATTGATCGCTACTTTTTTGTGTCCATTGGGAGTGTTGACATTGTCTTCCCTGATGTGATTAGTAAGGGGGTGTCCTTGAAGGAAGGTGGTAAAGTCACCCTCACAACAGACCTACTAAGCACAAGTGACTTGAACAGCCCCGATGAAAACTTGGTTTTTACCATCACGAGGGCCCCCATGAGAGGTCACCTAGAGTGCACTGACCAACCTGGAGTGTCCATCGCATCTTTCACTCAGCTCCAATTGGCTGGCAACAAAATCTACTACATCCACACAGCTGACGATGAGGTGAAGATGGACAGCTTTGAGTTTCAAGTCACTGACGGGCGTAACCCTGTCTTCCGAACGTTCCGTATCTCCATTAGTGACGTGGACAACAAAAAGCCAGTGGTCACCATCCATAACTTGGTTGTCAGCGAAGGTGAAAACAAGCTGATCACGCCCTTTGAACTCACTGTTGAAGACAGAGATACTCCCGACAAACTCCTGAAATTCACTGTCACCCAGGTGCCTGTTCATGGTCATCTCGTTTTCAATAATACCAAACCTGCCACGGCTTTTACCAAGCAAGACTTGAATGAAAACTTAATCAGCTACAAGCATGATGGCACGGAGTCGAGTGAAGACAGCTTCTCCTTCACGGTGACCGATGGCACCCATACAGACTTTTATGTTTTCCCAGATACAGTGTTTGAAACGAGGAGACCTCAAGTGATGAAGATCCAGATCTTACCTGTTGACAATAGTGTCCCCCAAATTGCAGTGAATAAAGGGGCCTCTGTGCTTCGCAATCTGGCCACTGGTCACTTGGGGTTCATGATCACAAGCAAAATATTGAAAGTGGAGGATAGAGACAGCCTGCACTTCTCTCTGAAGTTTACTGTGACAGAGGCACCTCGACATGGATATCTCTTCAACCTGGATAAAGGCAACCACAGCATCACTCAGTTTACTCAAGGTATGTTTCCTTTGCTTTCCTTATACCCAAAGGACATTCCAGGTCTTATTTCCTGAGAGTGTGGCCATCCCTGAAAGCCTATAAGTAGAGCATTGAGTTAGGGTCCAAGGGAAGAGAAGGGAGAAAAGAAAAGGGAAAAATAACTGTATACTTACTTTCTTACAAAAACAGCTGCCTTGCTGTAAGATGTACCATGACAGTGACCTTTATTAGAGAGAGTACTGATATATTTCAATAGTAGCAAGTTATGTTGCCAAAGTAGGGGCAGGATTGGTGAAATAAAATTGAAGCAGACTTTCCAATTCTGCTGCATTAGCCACTGCTATCCTCTGAGCATCCTCTGTTTCATATGCTATGAATGCTTCATGAAGCATTTCAACACTTTATAGCTAGAGTAGCTCGCTAAATTGTATTTATTCAGATTATTATCATTATTAATGAGCATCCAAATAAACCTTTAAATTTGTGTTACTTTGATTAATGCTGAAGAGCATCACTGATACTATTGTGGTTGCTAGGAACTTTGTAACTGAAAGAAAAAAAAACACATATGTTCACATTTACATGGAGACTTTCACAATTCTCTTATAATATTTCATGACTCAGGCAAACACCTGTCCAAAGACATAACAGATAAACACCCATCTAGAGTTACAACAAGTTATATGAGTTAGAATTATATGTGATAACACAGGATATACTGACTGGGAGGATACCCCCAAGAAAAGGAGATTATATTACACTTATAAGAAGACAATGTATTCGTCACCAAACTGTACACCTGTTTCATTATTTAGAACCTGAAGATATGTAAACAAGATTAATAGTACACAGAGGAAATCATTTTTGAGCCCTCTCTCTGGCCTGTTTCAAACACCAGTTGCCTCAAGCTCCTTTGTTCTTGAGGTAACAGGGTTTTTCTAACCTGAATTTCCCTGGTGGGTGGACACAGTCTGAGACAGGAAGGGCAGGTGACCTGTGCTGGGTTATTCAGTGAGAGAAGGGACAAGTCCATTCAGTGTGCCAGCTTGGGAGTTAGGACTCTGTTCTCTAGAATGTGCATTACAAAGGCATTTGGGTTGCTTTCATGAAAACCTCACCATGTCAGAAAGGAAATCAGATCTACCATTTGTGGGCTCTGTGGGCAGAGATGGAGTTTAACCCCAGGGCATCCCAGTGGGGGTGTTCTTTTCCTACAACAGTGTTCTGCTCTTAGATAACAAATACTTTAATAAACATGGATGTAGCAAAACGTAGTGTTCAAGTGAGCTGCTTCTCTGTTTGATGCTGGCAAGTAGCCTCACACTCCAACCTCCTGATTCTTGGCTGAAAGCCTGAATGTATCCCAGGGCCTGCAGGGACAGGAAAACCCCAGAGTGCCAAGTGTCACGCCAGACCAGCAGGAAACTTTTGTGTGAAGGCTTTCTGAGGATGGGGATGCCATGCAATCCTACACTGGTTCATTTTCATGGAAAGTGAAGAGGATGAAAGGAATATATTAGAGGACAGAAAATGTACTTCAAATCCCTCTCCAGACCTGAAATGGGAATCTGAATTTTTAGAGAATTTTTTTTTAAAGAATTTTTGGATGAAGACAAGCAAATGATTTGAGTTCTACAGACCAAATCCAGCAGCTCAAAATATTGGAATGTTATTTCTTAAATGTTCAACCCTAAAAATTATGCCACTTTATTCTAGGCAGTTGTTCTATTTCTCACTGATTTTGAATTATCTTCACTAACTTTTGTGGGTTTTTTGTTTTTTGGTTTTTTTGTTTTTTTTGGTAGATGTAGAGTAGTTACAAGTTTGTTGCAAATAGAGATTCTCTTTTTAGGGGGAAAAGTTAGATTTTTTAAGGGAAGTCATTACATTGCAATACAAACTCAAATATCGACTAGAAAAACTGTTGGTTTTAATTTAGTCACACAGCACTCACATGAACAAGTTGAGGCTGGAGTTTACTTCATAGCAGTTATTTATGGAGATTAGATAAGCAATTAAAAATGGAGAAAGCTTCATCAGAGAACTGCTAGAGCAGCTCTTCCAGTAGGAGAAAGAAAGCAGAGGAAGGACTGTGCTGTCTTTTAATTTGTTTTTGCTTTGTCTTTATCATCTAGGGATAAGCTAAACTATATTTTGATGGATTTTTCAGTGCACTGACTTGATTCAATTTTGCACAGATAGCCAGAGAAAATTTTTATGTTGATTGACCAAGTGGTTCCTAGGAGAAAAAGAAGAAGAATTGATTTGTAAAATTTTAATTGGAGTTCATTATAAGGAAAAATTAACAGTGTCCAATGAATCAGATTAGGAAATTATCATTATTTTGTGGTATGGGGGTCTGAACTCAGGGCCTCATGCATGCTAGGCAAGTGCTCTATCTCTGAGCTACAGCCGCAGTCAAAATTATTTATTTATTTCGAACTTTACAACTTTCCCAAGGTGCCCCCACCCTCCTTCTAGCCAACACCTCACACCAGGTCTGAATCACATGTTTTAAAAACCTGGATTTTTTTTTTAATTTGCAGTAGGTACATAATGATACACTGTGTGGGATAATTTATAAATCAGTTTCAGTAAAGTGGAAATGTCCCCAAAGAGTTTGAACCAGATGTGGTTACCAGACATGTTAATGAACTTACAATAGAAAAGACAGAATGATTGTGTGGGTAAACTGAAAATAAATGTAATTGCATGTTTAACCATTAGAAGAAACCCTGGTTAATTCCTAGATGCTTGCTTGAAGAAGATAGCACTTTAACTTTTGAGTTTTTATCTTCTTAGGACTTGGGTGCCTTAAGAAAGCTAGAGTTAAGGCATATTTACAGTATGTTTATGTTATTTCCAGAGGCACCTGGAGGATAACAATATTTTGCCCAAAGTACTTATTTGGGATTTAAAAAGCCTCTTTTTAAACTATAAATTAGTATCAAAGTTTCAGGGAAAATTAAAAGAATTTTGTTAAGTTCCAATTAATCAATAACACGTTCACTGGTTTGGAAGGGAAACATGACACCTGAGTGTCATATTGCATTCATATTCTCTTTTTCTTAAAAAAGGAAAGTTCTGAAAAATCAGTTTTGAAGCAATTATTTGTTTCAATGACACTGTCTCCAAAATACTGTATTTTTGCCTAAGAAATCATTGACACCAATGTGGGATGTGCTAAGCAGGGCTTTTCTTTCTTTCTTTCTTTCTTTCTTTCTTTCTTTCTTTCTTTCTTTCTTATCTCCTAGTAAAACTTTTACATTTTCTTATAAAATTTAAGAAAAGGTGAAAATACTGGAAAGAGTCTTCCCCCACGGCCCAAAGCTGTTTTCTCCCATGGTAGGGATGTATAGTCAATGGAGATGATTAAACTCCTTACTGACAAAGGGAAGGATACAGGAGTTGAGTTAGGAGGGTAAACAGACCAAGAGACTCTCAGGGGGCCTGCATTCCTTACCCTGCAGAAACCCATCCATGCCAAAGGAGAGATGCAAGTGTGAGCCATCAGGCAACTTAACATCTTCGTTTTACATTAAGGAACATTTGAGCCTTTACTATAAGGGACTATAAGACCCTGAGCAAAGGACTGGGGAAGTTAAGATGGGAAACAATATATCCAAGAAATTCTCAATCTACTAGGAAAGATAGCCACACAGAAAGATAAAAATGACACTAGGCAGAGAGTTTTGGAAATTATAGCACAGCTAAAAGGAAGTATTGCAGGAGGTCAGAACATCTTGAACTTGCTTTGCCTCCACGTACCTCTTTTAGCAAGAAGGTACAATTAACTATAAAATCAGATTTTCACCCCAGGGATTCCTGACTGTGAGTCACCTTTCAAACTTGTATGAGCCAGTGAGGAGCACATCTCACATGTATAGAGTAGGGCTGTAGAAACGCATGGATCCTAACACCTTGCCTCACTCAAGTTTATTCTTTCATAAGTTATTGTATTTCATTAGATGTATATTATATAAATGTGTGTGTG